CACACACACACACACACACACACACACACATACATACACACACATACACACACGTACGCACATACACATACATACACACTACACACATACACATACACATGCCAGATATCTCGATAGGGGGACATAATATAAACAATCTAAGATATGCAGACGACTCAGTCCTGATAGCAGAAGATGAAAAACACCTACAGAATCTATTACCTGTCATCGTACAAGAGAGTGACACAATGGGCTTAAGCCTAAACATCAAGAAAACTGAAACAGTTGTGATAAGCAGAAAAACCCCAACCCCAACAGGCAATATCAAAATCAATGATACCATCCTAAAGCAAGTACAACATATGAAATATTTCGGGAACATTATGTCATCAGATGGGAGATGGCACATCGAAATTAAAAGCCGCATTTGCCAAGCAAAAGCTACCTTCCACAAAATGAAACAGATACTCATAAACATCAGACTGTCACAGGAAACAAGAAAAACATTACTGAAAAGTTACATCGAGCCAATCCTATTATACAGATGCGAAGCGGGGACAATCAATAGACAGTGGAAAGAACAATTGAGGCGACGGAGTTGTGGTTCATAAGATGCATGCTGCATGTCCGATGGACAGCTAGAAAAACGAATGAAGAAGTCTTGGTTGAACCAAATTTCAGACAACTGCTTAAGACAAATATACGAAAGCGACAGGCAATTTTCATTGAACACACAATGCGGAAATAAAGAAGCATTCAAGAATTTTGTTACAACAAGCAAGTTTGATGGAAAGAGGGGCAGAGGCAGACAGAGGGAAAAGATACTGGACAAGTTGACAACATGACTGGGAGCAGCAAGAACAACAGACACCAGCAACGAAAGACAGATAGAAGTGGAGGTCCATGATCGCCCACGCCAGTCGGAAAGGCACCGGATGAGGTTTAGGTGTTCGCCTCTCATTCAATAGGTCCCGGGTTCGAATCTGGATAGCTACGGAACATTTTCTTCTTTAAAATGTTCTCTTTTCACACCCCTTCCTGCTCTCTAAATTAAATATTGTTCTGTCGTCTGCTTTCGACTCCACTTTTTGCCCCCACCCCCTCACCTCCTTTGTCCCCTCTTCTGGGCTCCTGACTCTTTCTGCAGCCTTTCTACTGATTCTCCTTGGCTCCTTCTTACTGCTGTCTTTCATCTGCACCCCTGATCTTAAGGCATGTAAGATCTACACCTAGCCTTCTCGGACAAGGGCGAAAAATCTCGGAGATCCCGCGTGCTAGTTGCGGTCGTTAAAAATCCGTTGATTGTCCAAAATCGATAAGAGTAGGCTTCGGCCGCCACCCTGGAAAAATTCAAAATTTCCTCTCAACTGAAAATGTTTAGTGTGTCCCACCCGGTCATACGACCATATATTCAGTTGCGAGCGCCGTAACCCACTCCCAAAAAACACACCAAACCAAACAAACAAAAAAACAACAACCCAACAACAACAAAAAAACATACAAAAACAAACAAAAACAAACGAACTAACTTTTTAAAAAAACCCTCCAAAACCCAATCCATCACGCACCATTGGGGACCATTATATCATTCGATGGGAGATGTCACACCGAAATTAAAAGCCGCATTTGCCAAGCAAAAGCTACCTTCCATAAAATGAAACAGATACAATATCAACCTGTCACTGGAAACAAGAAAAAGATTACTGATAGGCGGGTTCTTTGGTGTAGGCTGGCTGTCGATCTTTTCATTAATTCAGGTGGTATTGACTAATTATCCAATCTTTATATATACCGATACTTACTTTTACATTTTCATCCTCTGTTGCCGTTGCAGTACATGTACTGGTGTGTGTTGTTCTTGCTGTTCCCAGGGATGTTGTCAACTTGTCCTGTATCTTTTCCCTCTGTCTGCCTCTGCCTCTCTTTCCATTAAACTTGCCTGTTGTTACAAAATTCTCGAATACTTCTTTCCGCATTGTGTGTGCAACGAAAATTGCCTGTCGCTTTCGTATGAAACACACGCATGTGCACACACACACACACACTCTCTCTCTCTCTCTTCTCTCTCTGTCTCTCTCTCTGCCCCCCCCCCTCCTCTCTCTCTCTCTCCCTCTCTCCCTCACATGCACACACACACACACACACACACACACACACACACACACACACACACACACACACACACACACAGACACACACACACATACAACAGACAAACACGTACACAAGCAAACACACCCACAAACAGGTAAACATGATGTTTTCTCGCAGTTTGGAGAGGTGGGATACATTCATTAAGGAATTCACAATGGAGGTGATGACCTACGGTTAGTCTAGTAGTTTCAATATCAAAGTCAAAGACTATTATAAACTCGTGTTTTCTTCCTTCCCAGGATACCACCTGTTTTACTTGCAGAGACCGGCACAAGGTATCCTATACATCACGACAGGCGGGTTCTTTGGTGTAGGCTGGCTTGTCGATCTTTTCAGGTTGTATTGACTAATTATCCAGTCTTTATATAGATCTAATATAATAAATAGCATTTGTATAGCGTATATCCCCGCTCAACAGCAGGCTCTATGCGCTTTACACTATATTATTACCCCAGCAGACCAAAGAACACTCCGAAACATTCTCAGCTCCCTGGGAAGCATACAGTGCAAGCAGTTGATTAAGTGCTCAAACACTAACAAACTGACAAGATCTTTCGCTGTCTATAGCCGGGTACCCATTCCCACTCGGGTGAAGTGAGGAAAATTCGTGTAAAGTGCCTTTCCCAAGGACACAACGTCGGGCCCCTGACGGGATTCGAACCCACGACCTTACGGTTGCGAGTCCGAGAGCCTAACCACTAGGCCACCGATACCACTTATTTTTACTTTTTCATCCTTTATTGCTGTTAAGCGTCGAGGGGAGATGCAGTTTTCTATGGTAGGCCAGCCCCGCAGCTCTTTCAATTGGGATATTATGATTTCTCAGGGTTTCCTTAACGCCCTCAATACACCTTTTGCGAGGCCTTCCTCTTCCTTCATATAGCCTGAGTGCTTGGTGTTATAAGTTATACAATCTCGAGGCTAGCTTGCTAGGTGACATACGTAACAGGTGGCCAAACCGTTAAAGTTTGTTCTCAGTCATGTACATCTATGTTCTCAGTCTTTCTATAAAATGCAGGCAGGACTCAGTGACAAAAGCTGCTCTTACTTCTTAATTTTTCTGCTTGTCTCGTTGCGGAGACATTAATTTATCTGGCATGCTGTGATTTTCATGGGTTTATGTCTAGGTCTGGCACTGGAAGCATAATGTAGGTGTATGGATATTGAAGTGATAAACTGTCTCTTTTTGTCCTTGGAGATTTTTTCATGTCTTTATATACTTGTGTATTATAATAAAGTGGAGTCCGCTTAAACCGAACACAGTTAATCCGACGTTAGGAAAAATAACCAAAATCCCCGATTTTTTCCTTTTTCCTTGACCGAAAATAACTCCTGCTAAACCGAAGACTTTTCGGCTTAAGCGGACTCCACTGTGTCTTGACATAATGTATCTTTACACATGTAATTGTCTATACCATACACAATATCTCCACTCCCCTCCTTTTATTGCTGACACATGCCACCAGGATTTCCTGAATAGTCACTTGTAATCCATTTTTCTTTGGACTCAGAATTCCTTATATGGTCAAGTCGATGAATGCTTTGCCCGGACCCTACGAAAAAGACCGACATTTGGTAGAGTCAGGATGTCTCACCTTCTATTTGACAGGTGCGTTACACGTCAGTGACTGTAGATACTGATAGTATGTGCGGTTCGATAATTCTTCAAGGGCTGATCGCGAACCTAGTGCCATCTTGTACTGACTCATTTGACAGAATTTGACGTTCACCACTTTCTCCTCAATTATTTAAATTGTGTCACTAGGGATACATGTAGGCCTACAGCACACTGTACTTACAATTTTAATTACAATTTTTAAGAATCCATAGACAGGCACGATTAATAGTACAGGACTATGTTCTAGGGTAAACTGCCCTCCTACGTGCAACCACTTTCACTATCTTCTAAATAAAGCAAGAGAGTAAAAAAATAAAAAAATATATTATATATGAAACATAACAAAAAAACAGATCACCTTCCCTTCGTTTGTCTGTTGACTTGTAATCCACTTCCCTTTTCAATTTCCCTTTTATTGAAGCTGGTAGGAACATTAAAAAAAAAAAAAATGTTTGTTGAAAAACTTGGTTCATGAGTTTTTTAGGCAAGTTGTTTAAGGGGAGATAACAAAAAGAAAAAAAAATCGTTTCAGCTTTCAATGCTGCTGTGTTCTTCAAGATTAGTCATTAATTATTTGCTGCTGATTGCGATAAGCATCTGGAGTACAAAAGACAGCGGAATGTCGGTGGTGGCATGAAGGGCACGGCAAAATCACCTAGGCCCTACATGCAACCAGGCTGGTCGCGGGTTTGGCTTGATGATTTTTTGTACGGACTAAGAGGCAACAACCTCTTACTCTTAGGTCATACAAAAATTATTCTGTCTAACCTCTAGTTAAGATTAGTTACAATTAATTATAATTTATAATTTCTAGTTTGCAATTTTGTATAAAAGGAAAAACAACCACCACCCTCTCCCCAACCCCCCCCCCCCCACACACACACAAAACCCCACAAAAACCAAACGTTACCGTACCATTGTTAATTTTGTGGAGCAATACTGTTAGTATCCTACTTGCAGCAAACAACATAGTTTAAATAAACACAGCGATCTGTCTAGCATACACAAAGTGATAAAAAAAAAAAAATAACCGCACATACTGAAGAGCTATTCTGACCCCGATTTTTTTTCATAACATTCTTTGTTTTCAAAATACACATGGTGTTCACTGTGAAGAATTCGTATAGTAAAATTTAAAAATGGCAGCAGCAACGGAAGATACTTCTGTGCAACTTCATCAAGACTTAACTTTACAGAACACTGACAAAAGCTGTTGCCTTACGCCTATAGTGCGGTCATAAATTCATGGCGCAACATATCCTCAAATATCTCTTTAACGGGTGAATCAATGTCATTATTGTCATCCGTACTTTGCACTGCTGTTTTGTACCAATTTGTCTTAACTAAATCATTTTTCCCAGGAACAATTGGGGCTATATTTAAAACCTTTTTTTTCTCATAAATTTATATAAAATACTTGAAATCTCTATCACGCCTACATTGGGATTGTTCACAGCACTTCCCGCTTCTCACACACGTTTTGATTACGCATATGGCCTACATCACAGCTCATCAATGTCAATTTTTGTGTGGCTAAACTTGTTGCAAGAAATTAATTTTATAGTGAACACATTTTTTGCACCAGATCTAATGGCTCTCAAAACACGCGTTCAATAAACATAATACCCCGATTAGAAAAACATGACGAACTTGCTATTAAAATTAAAATCAATACTGCACCAGCTGTAAACATTTAAAAATCTGTAGAAATCACCCACTTGAATATTTTTTTTAGTATCTATTAATAAATATTCTAGAATACAGCTAGCAGGTGTTTACAAAAATGTCGATCTCTTAAGACAAATTGATACAAGTCATCGTGCAAGAACTGGAGAACCTATGTTTGATAGTTGAGGAGATATTTGACAAGTTGCGCCACGAATTTTTGACTGCACTATAGTGTGTAATCTCTGTTGAAAAGGAAGTGCGCCGACAAACGTGCTGAATTTATGTGCCTTCACGCGACCACAGATTCTCGACACGCAAATAACTGTTTCAGTTTTCAGCCCTAATTTTTTTCTTCAAACTAAGCCCTCTGGGGTCTTGTAATTTATTCAAAAGTAAATTATATTATTTCTTTCTTGATTCCATTTCTTCTGTATCTTTGAACATCTGGTTGCATTTAAATTCACATAATGGCATAAGATAGGCAGACCGGTTGCACCAAGGGCATGTGGTTGCACACAGGGCGATAAAGGCAAATAGTATTTTCCCTCTAATATCGTTATTTGTTTGCTATTTAATTTATACAGGCACTGCCAGGCTCACCTTTGAACCGTATGAACCGACTGCTACTAAAGACAAATCTCTTTGGCAACTCTAAAAAGGGGTTTATGAGCAACTACCTCAACAAGAGGTTGCACTAAGGCACTTAACCTTAATCAGATTTTATCCATCTATACACTTAGCCTACAGTGACTCAATGAGTGAGGATGGACATAAAAAAAAAAGTTGCGTTTTGTGAAAACAAAGTAAATCGTATTTTAATTCTATTTTCAGGCATCGCCGGGTGTCACCATTTCTACCTGAAGAGACCCGTGTGGGGTATCCTCTACACATTCACCTTGGGACTCGCTGGTTTCGGTTGGCTCTACGACTGGTTCCGGTTCGTGATCTTGACCCGAAGGGCTAATGCTATAAAGAACGGCACCCTCAGTTCCAGTAAAAAGTTCAAGGACGACATCTTCATCCTCTGGTTCCCATTGGGTATTCTTGGTAGGTGTTGATGTCACAGTTGTATGTTTTCTTGTTGTTGTGAGTGATGCTCTGTTCTACACACTTTTATTACTATCCTAGACCTTGCACCTTGACGTGTTTCCGGTTCACTCTAGAGTGCACTATTTTACTACCTTAGATACAAAGTTCTATTTGACATTTTTGGCATTTGACCATGAGGTCAGATAATGTTCTATTTGCTCTGTCAAAATCGTAAGATAATTCGGAGTTGTTATCAAGATATTATAAGAACTGCATTCGAGAAAACTGGACATGCTGTGAAAATCTTTTTTTTTTTAAAGCCAAATTTCTCAAAACTAGGTACTGAGCAGATAGAACTTTGTAATTCTAGGGTAGCGATATGACTAAATTTGAGCCAAATGAAGGGTAACGGGCGAAAGGTACCGTGCGCTCTTGACTCTTACGAGACTCCTTCGTCATCAATGCCTTTCTCTCCCTGGACCAGGGTACATGTAGAGGCTATGAACAAACATTTTCCACATTTCCCTATCGCGGGTCCTAGCCTCATGATATTATTCCACGTCATCCCATTTTTCTGTACATCACTCTCTGTGACTTTTATCCAAGTTCCTTGTGACCTTCCTCTTGATTCCTTACCATGAAAATTCCAATCCAACGCTTTCTTTGTTATGTGATTACCTGGGTTCCAGAGAGAACAACATGTATGTCAGATCTATTGCCACCTCTTTTTGCCCACTGCATTTCCTTTTTCCCCACCGCATCTCCAACATTTACTGGACTCTGTCTTGTTCGTCTGAACACCTATTCGTTGGTGTCTGTCTGTCCATCGGGTCCTGAGTAAGTCAATTTGAGACCCCTTGCCCCCTCCTCCTGGCCTGCACCAAATATGTATCGATCGTTGATGCATCAAATGGATTTCCGACGAAAGTTTCAGAATGTGCACTGGGGAATACATGTAGCATAATAATTTAAAAAATTGGCTCGGCCCTATAACCACCCTCGTCTGTCTTTCCACTTCACAGGTTTCCATCACTTTTACGTCCACCGCTACGGGTGGGGCTTCCTCTACATCTGCACGTTCGGTCTCTTCTTCTTGGGCTGGTTCGCAGACATATTCCGCATTTGGTCCTTTGTTGACGAGTTCAACCGTCAGGAAGAGGAACGTGAGCGTGAGACGAGGCAACCAATACCGACATGTGCGCAACAGACAAACGTGCCAGCCCACCCTTTGTCAAGGGAAGTGCCGGAAGTAGGTGGCGCGACGGCGACGTCACATCTTGGACCGTCACCAGGGTTACCGGCGACGGCACCTTATCATTGGTTACCAGGAAGTGGTGGGGAAAGAACGGATCCAGGCATTGTCGAACAAGGTTAGCCCTTAGCTATTTTTGTTTTAATAATTTCAAGGAAATGTCTACACGTTTATAATTAATTATGTTTTAATATCCATTTCGGTCCCAATGTGAACTCGCAAGAGCAAACAATGCTAATAGTATAGTATTCAATAATACAAATAACAGATAAACGGAAACAAACAAGAAAATTAATTAACAAATGGAAAACGAACGAATCAACGAGCAAACCAACTAATGGAAACAAAGTACATGTATTATCTGTAAGGAAGCATTTTTTGGTAAACTTCTCCACAGAGACGCAACAAGTTAGTAATACATATGTATGTAACGTATGCACTCCCCAATTTTCAGTACTCATCATAGCGTGGTTATCTGCCTTGTTCCGGTTCATTTCGCTATCCTCGGAGTTGTTTTTTTTTCGACTAGATCTATGTTGATGTTATATTAAAGTCTCTCTCCCCCCCCC